TCCCGGTTCCACTCCGCGGCTTGGGCTCGCGCTGGGGCAGATGCCAGGGCCCCGGCGGGTGGTGGTCTCCGGAATTCGCCCCGGTGAAATCCTTCCATTGGGTGATCGGTCCCTCTCCCCCCAGAGTGCTCGGGAAGCCTAGGGGAGTGCTTCCCTCCCCCCTCGTCCTATTTGAAATTACAATTGCATTGTTTTGAAACTTTTCAATAAGAATCAATCCTAGTATGACTCGTTAAAAACCAGCTGTTCTTCTCCCAGGCAGCTTCTAAACTGAAGACGTGAGCCCTAGTGCTTCACTCTGGCTAGGGAGAATGATTTGTTTTACTGGTACACATTCCCTTCTTTGTTATGGTATTAAAATACCTCGGATTTGTTTCTAATACACAAATAACCGTGTAGTAATACTTGTGCAAACGCAGCAGATGCGTGCCTAATATACTCCTTTACCCTTACGCAGGCCCATTTGGAAATGCAAATGTGGGATCATTCTCTTAATTTTAAAAAAGTAATTGTACTACTCTTGCGGTTTGCTACAAAATTTCTTCTTCACAAGAAAAAGGTTGCCAAAAAAGATAAGCTCAGAGAAAGGGGAATATGCCAAGTAGACAAAATAAAAACAAAAGCCATAAAGAGCTGGTACATTATTTTGAAGATTCAAAAATCCACAGAATGAAAGATGGCCTGAGCATCATTATTTTAGAAGAAAGGCCTGAAGGACCACCACCTTTCTGTGCGCGTTTTTTTCTTAAAAATATCGAGACTTTGGTGCCCACCTGTGAGATGTACGTTCTGCAACTTAGCATGTATACAAAACTAATTGTATGATTGTTTCTGAAAATTAGTGTGATGTGAATTAGCTGACGGGCACACACACTGTGTCTTGCTACTATCTGTTCAGGCAGTTATGGGGGAAACTGATGTTCATCTCAAAACTGCTGGGTGCCTGTGGTCTCGGTGAAAGTGGATTGTTATGAAGTTATCTGCTGTCACCCTTCTGGGGAATGAAGCTCATACCCCCCCAGCGCAGGGTGAGAGCCAGGTTGTCAGCTCTTTGTTTTCAATGTGAAACTCACCCAGCAAGTTGCGCTCTTCCTGAACCCTTCCTGTGGATGGGTTTGGCCCTGGTTAGGGTTTCGTAAACCTTTTCACCAGGGGAAAAAACAGGTTGAGTTACTACTAAAGTTGCTCTCCATAAGTACAAGTTCTGAGCTAGCTACCAAATCAGAAATCCAATACTCGAAAAACTGATTTGAAGATTCAGCAGAATTTTGAAAGTTCCTTCAGGATCTTTTAGCTCAGCCTCTGTATTTTATGGGTAAAGAAAGCCTCGAGTGTGTTTCCAAAGCTCACTCAGCTGGAGCGAGAACTACACGGGAAAGGCCTGGCGAGCGGCAGTGTATTGCTCAGTAGAAGGTAGAGGGCTTGGGTTTTTCTGAAATGAGAGGTATGCAGGCTGACATGCTGGCTTAGTTGTGGGTCCTGCCAGCACTGGGTGGCTGACCTCTGCGGACTGCTTGGATGGCGGTCACTGGGCATCATCAGCTCAAGAAATGAGTTCTCTTTACCAAATTAACTACTTGAGGGCACTTGGACTGGCACCAAGACTTAAGAAGACTGACATGCAGCTCCTTGCTCTCTGGGCTGGCTTCATTGCTGTGATGCCACAGAACATCGGGGCGACTAATTCACTTTCACTTCTTTAAATTATATCAGTTCCAGACTAAAGGCCATAGGAAATCCTTCAGAATTATTTGGTTAGAAATCGGTTTCTTAATGCATAATGAAAAAAAGACCCTGATAAAAAATAAAGGGCAGTTTGGGGAAGCCGAGCTCCGAGGATCCTCAGAGCATCGCCCCTTAGAGAAGAGGTGCCCTCAGTCACTGTTGAGCATGGAAAGCACGTGGGGGGACCACTTTGGGGTGTTTACAGTCTGACCGAGCTGCTAAAGGAAAGACTTGCAGGGACAGAAGGAAGGAAAACACCAGAATTTTGTGTTTTATACTCGCACTCACCCGTGAGCCTCCCAGAGTCCCCGAAGTAGTTGGAGTGACTGTCTCCATTTGTGGGGGGGCGGGGGCGGGAGGCATCGAGTGAAAACAAGTGTCTTGCCCCTTGTTGCAGGTGAGGGCTGGTGGAGGCAGAGCATTGGACTTTACCCAGGTCTGCTCTGAGCTGTGGACCTCCCCTGCAGTCTCCAGGTAGTCCAGTTCTTTGCGCACTTGGGCATCCCGTTAATTTCCTGGCAAGTTCATACCAGTCTAGGCCCCTTCCCTGGCAGGGAGGCTGCTGTTAGGGAGGCTGCTGTTCTCTTTGGAGCTGGGAGATGCACGGTTCCCAGGCAGCCACTCACCCTGCTCTGCTTGTGGGATAAACAGGTCAGATAGGAGCAGCGCGCTAGGCCACACCCTAACCAACCTCCCTGGGACCAGGCTACCCTCCTCTGTAGAGGAGAGAGAGTCCCAGGCCTGGGAGGCTCCGGAAGAGCCTTTCAGGGACACTGATTGCTGGTCGACTCACCCCCATGCCACCACCCCTACCGCCCCCCAAGTTGAATCTGTTTGCCAGAGCAGCACGCAGCAATCTGTAAGTCAGAGCAGCTTGCCTGATGCTTCTGATTCTACCACACTGTTGTCTGGGAGCCACTGGTGGACTCTCTGGTTGTGGGGGAGCTGTGACTCGGTGTTTGCTACACGAGGGCTCTGGCATCCCTCAAATAGCACCTGCCTAGCGCCTGACCCTCAGGGGCACTGCTGGGCCTCCACCTTCCTTCTGAGTGCCGCTGGCTTCTGGAGTATAAATGCAGGGGTGGGCGTGAGGAGGGATGGGGACTGCAGGCCGGTGTGGGGAGGCGGGGAGACCCTCCTGTACTGGGAAGAAGTGAGCCAGAGTGTTTCCTGCCCAGCTGCCCTGCCCCCCTGCGCAAGCTCACTGTAGTCATTTGACAGATTACACTCGGCCTGTGGGAGAGGCAGGACAGCTTTCAGAGGAAATTGAAAATGCTTTGAGTTATGATAGAAGGAGAGAGGCCCATTTATTCTGCTTCAGGTTCAGCAGAGCCTCCTGAATTTTCCTAAAGATGAGCTCATTCTGCTCTTGGGGGATCGATTGCAAGCTCTTGTGCCTCTTAGCAGAGCCAGAGCACAGCCAGGAGGTGAGCGAGTGGCCATGGTTTCCTCATATTTCGAGCCAGTTGGAGTCTGCGCCGAAAATTCCTTCGAGATGAACAGTGATTCGCTGGGGAGGATAAAGCCGGTGGCCCGATGCCGTGGGGTCCAGCTCATCCGGGACCTTTATGTGGCCCTTTAACGAAGGCTGCGCTTGGCGAGGCGTGTGCCGACAGGTCCCCTGCTTTGTCCTTCTTGGGGGCTGCGCAGCACACGGGGAGGTGGTGGTGGTTGACGTTAGCCAGGGCCCAGGAAGGCTCAGCTGTCTGATGCTCAGGGCTGGGGGTGCTGGTGGTGAGTCAGAAAGCCTCACACCACCCGTGGGGCTGGATTAGTGCTTCCTCGTTTCTGGAATGACACGTGGCTGCTTACATAAACCACTCTACATGTTCGGTGCTTCCTATTGACATTTAAAAATACCCGATGTTGATCATCAAAAATAGGAAGCCAGGCATCATCCAAACCTACTCTTTTGTCCTTCAAACTTTCACTGTTTCCTTGTAGCTCTTGAATATTCAAGGCATTTTTACGTGGAAACACTGGGAGCATCCATCAACACAGGGCTTTGCTGTCAGGAGCTCTGAGACCCTGCCGCTGACAAAGACCAGGGATCCCGCTGTCACACAGACGAGGGTGTCCTCAGCCCTTCCTGGCCCCCCAGGGCTGGCGAATCCCGCCTGCACCACCCAGCTCACCCAGGTCTCAGAGTCACAGCGGACTCTTGAAGCTGAGCTCCATCCAATTCCCCTCCTCCTGCAGGCGTGGAAGGTGCCCTAACCTCCAGAGTCCTTCCTACCCGGAGCTCGCCAGGCACAGCCCCAGCGATAAACAGCCTTGAGTTCACCTCTGTGTAGCCGGTCAGAAAAGCTGGCTCTCTGCCTGAGCCTGGGTCTGAACCCAGGAGGTGGCCGAGCCCTCGCTCCTCATGCATCCCTGTGAGCCCTGTGGCCGGCCACTGCCTCCCTGTCAATGCCAGCCAGAGCCCAGTGCTGCTTCTCTGCTCTTTCCACAAAGACTTTCCTGCATCCCCTGGGGGGAGGCAAGCTGTCCTGCTCCACTGGGCTTGACCTGGAGGCTTCCTTCCTAAAGGTGCCGCTGGGCTGCCTGGCCTGGGGGTCACGTCCCTGTGGGCTGAGCTGTGGCCGTCTCATTTTTCACCCAGCGGTACCTGGCAGGCCACAGGCCCAGTGAGAATCCAGTGAGCGGGTGTGGAGAAGAGTAAAGCATGGGCCGGGTGCTGGCGAGGCCAGGCTGGTCGATGGCCATGTAGACCACTGTGTGTGGCTGGTGTCCCTCTGGGGTCCCCGTGCTTCAGGGTGGCCCCGGCTCCACGCACTTCCAGGGGACTGCTTCTTTTTCCTTGAATTTCTGAATGGCTTTTTGTCCACCGAGGACGTGGGTGTCGGTTCTGTTGGGTTTGGGGAAGCTCTTGCGCCCCCAGCAGTGACACAGTGCTGGAGCCGGCCTGCTGCTCTGGGGCCGCTGACCACAGACTCGCTGACCACAGCTGCGCATGAGCTGCGGGGTGCTGGGAGCAGAGTCTCTTGTCATTTTTGTCCCCGTGCGGCTGGCAGTGGGCTCACTCACTGTCAGTTCAGAAAAGCCCAGGATTGCTCGCTGCCAACATCAGGGCCTGGAAGGGGCCGCCCCCCCACCCAAGCTCCCCCAGCGCCCCCCAGCACCCCCAGCCCATGCTGTGTTCACAGTGAAGGGAGATGAGCCTCCCTCAGGGGACTCCTTGCCAGTCTGCTGGGGAGCAAACATGTCCACTTTCAAAATAACTTCTTCGGAGCTGCAGGATTGGGTGGGCTTTCCCCTTTCTTCGGTTTCTTGGTAGGCTCAGGACTGTACGTGAATGGGTTTAAATGTTGGGCCGGGGGGCGGGGACAAGCCCCCTCGCCTCTGGCTCCTGCCGGTGGGCCTACCATGGGCGCATGGCGCAGACCCGCGCCCCTGCCGGTGAACCCAGGACCCCCCGCCCCGCTGGGCGCGTGTGGAGGCCTGGCCGCGGTGACTCAGAGCTGGCTGCTGCCTCCGCTCTCCCTGACGGCCGGCCTGGCCAGGCAGTGACTCAGCAGGGAGCACTGGCTCCCTGACACAGAGCTCGAACTGAATGTTCCAGCCTGCGCCGTGGCCGGCCGGGCGAAACGCAGCGCTTCCCTCCCTCGGCCTCTTCCCCGAAGATGTCTGAGGACATTACCGCAGGAATAGTGAGCGGCGGCAGGCCCCTGGGCTCTAGTGGGCTCAGACACACAGCCCACCCTCCTGCGCCTCGGTCTCCCCGTTTGTAAACAGGCTGGGGTGGGAGACGTGGCGTGAGGGTGTGAGGCCACGTGAGGTGCTACCCGGGGACACGCTCGAGCCTCGGCCGAGCAGAGGGACAGACAGACAGGCGCTCGGCCTTCCCCAGGGAAGACGGTTCTTGGTCTTGGGTGTGTCTGCGCGCAGTCCGGCCTGAAGTCTGTTTCTCAGCAGCAAGGCCTCCTCTCCCATCTGCCTGTACCGCTTCGGTGGTCTCCTCTGACCCCCATCCCCCGGGTCCTGTGGATATTTGGGCAGGGATTCAGCCCAGGGTGCCCACCCGGAGGTTGATGAAAGCTCCTGGGCCTTCTGCAGCCTCCACCAGACAAGCAGCCCACGGCTGCATCGGCCTGTAGATGCCCCCAGCCACCACCCCCCGCCCCCCGCCCCTAAACAGGCCTGGGGTGTGGCTTCTGCACTGTTCACGCCCCACCCTGACTCCTTGAGAGGGGGAGGGGGTCTTCGTGATGCCCCTCCGCAGGCCTAGGGCTGTGCCCAGAGAGCTAAGCGGGACCAGCCCTTGCTGCTGCTGTTGCTTTCGGCCCAGTTCTGACTGCAGGTGGAAGGCGAGGGAGGGGTCTTCTCGTGGCCACTCCCCCCACCCCATGCCCATGTGGCTGCTGGGGCAGGGGAGGGGAGCTTTGAAAAGCTGTCCCCATCACCCCCTCCCAGTCCAGGACTCCCCTCAAGGTTCCCACCCCTGGTCAGAGAAGGCCACCTCTTCCTCAGGCTGCGGCTGGTGGAGGGAGATTTCTTTCTTTGGGGAACTGTGCTTTGTACAGAATGCATGTCTAACGAAGCCCTGCAACCCTGACGCCAGGAAAGACCCCCGTGGCTGGTGTCTGGCAGACAGAGGCTGGGGACAGACCAGGGCTCCCCTTGAGTGTGAGGCAAGCCCTAGAGGAACTGAATTGTACCCTGAGGAGTCTCTGTCTCGGCTCAGACAGTTCGCTTCCTGCTCTGTAAATTGCAGGTACTTTTCCACTGCGATTTCCATCCATTGATTAAAGCAGGTGTCGCCTCCTCTTTTCTGAAGTGCAGGGAAGTAGGTAGTTGGTAATTCCCCAGGTTCTCGGCCTATTTCTGCAGCAACTTCCCTGGAGTCCTTGGCCACGTCTGCTCCGTGGGACTTTGAGGGGCTGCAGGGGTGGGAGGCTGTGTGCTGACGGAGCCTCCTGTGCACTGTTAGGCAGCCTGTGGCCCATGCGGGGGCGGGTTGGCTTGGGGGAGGCCCCAGCAGCCGTCTGCTCTCGGCTGGGGGCTGCTCTCTGCCCCTCTGGGCTTGGCTTTTCTACCAAGTCGCAGGGGCTGTGTGCCAGGAGCAGTCTGCAGATTGGGCACGGTGCTTGGCCCCGAGGTTGCCAGGAGTGCCGGCGTGATCGGGGCCTGTTGACGAGAGGCGCGAGAGGACCTGGAATTGGTTTTGGCCGTGTTTACTAACAGGTTATGAAACGTCAGCTACGGTCCTCAGCAGAGAAAATGGCATCGTGGCCAAGCTGTGCTCTTAAGGTTCTCAGATAAAGAGGTTTCTCATTCTACCAGGGGAACGTTCTGATGCAATGTGGAGAGAGCACAGAGGGGTCAGCCTTTGTAAGCAACAGGACACGTCCACTGCTGCAGAGCAAAACCAGGTCCATCAATAACTATTTGTGGAAGAGAGGGGGGTGATCATATAGGGGCGTGGCCGTTCTTCTGGAGAAGTTTTATGGAAACTTCCTCCTGCCTTATTTCACTTAGATCTCAAAGATTTTTACACCTGGGGAAACTGAGTCTTACTGGCCAGGAGCCTTGTCGAGCGCTCACAGCTACTAAGCAGCAGGGTGGGATGGGAGCCCCGGGTGGCAGCTGGTCCGGCCTTTTGTTTGGACACAGATGCAGTGTTGAGCTTCATCTTCCAAAATCAGGCTCCCCTGCAGAGACCCATCTGGGCTTGGTCTCATTAATCCTGCGATAAAGTAGCAGATAAGCACCCAATCCCCTGGGACAGATTGCTTAGGTTGTGGTTGGCAGACTGGTCTAACCAGAAGTGCTGGAAGTGGACTTTGGCGGGTGTGACCCCGCCTGTTACTCAGAATCCTCCTGGTGTCCACTCCGTGCCCCACACAGCACCGGGCCAGTGAGACAGACCCCTTAGCACAACCCAGTGGGAACGGAAGGAATTCCAAGTTGGCCGTGGGGGTGCCATGGCCGTTTTATACATCAAATTAGAGCCGTGCTGAAGTCACTTCCACGGCCCCCCATCCCACGGGGAAAGTCGGGGGAGGAGGTGGAAGCTCACCCAGGATTTGCCCTATAGAAGGAAGTTTTCTGTGTTTGCTGCCTGATAGAGGTGTCCCAAGCAGTTAATTTTGAGCCAAGTCCTAGATATGAGGGGAGTTCCAGGATTCCTCAGCTTTTTTTCTGTTTTAGAAATAACCAGCAAAAGTCAACACTGAACCTGTGTGACGGCTCTTCTGGCCTAAAAACCCAGATACAGGCTCGTGTCCCACTTAAGGCTCCAGGGCTTCGGGTGGCCCTGGCGGCTGCCGTTGCTCTTGAGTCGGACCCTGGTGGGGGCAGCTGCGGAAGGTGCCGGGCCTGCCCTGTGTGGAGAGCGCCACGCTGGCATGGAGGCTGGGCCGGGCAGGGGGCCGGGCAGGGGGCCGTGCCTGGAGCTGAGAGGCTGGAGCAACCCCGGCCCCGGCCCCGGGGCGGTGCCCTCCCCACAGGGGCTGGAGGACTCTTGTCCCTCCTGCTTTTACGACACAAGGAAGAGTCCCCAGGGTGCCTGTGCAGGGGCTGCCGCCCCTTCATTTGGGACCTAAAACTCTGGGGGTCACTCTGGTAATTAACCGACTGCAGCTAAAAGTGGTCCCTTTTGACGTCGGTGCCAGCTTGTGCTGGGCTTGAGATTTATGTAGATGGGAATCAGAGGTCCCAGGAAGGGGGGAGAGCCGGGAGGACCTGACCAGGTGTTGTGGGGGTGGGCGTGGGGGGTGTCCTGCTGGGTCTCTCCACCCCCCCCACCCCCCCACCCCCACCCCCGCTGAAGTGGGCTCCCTGCATGCTGCCTGCACTGCTGGCCCCCTGGACTTGGAGAACCGCCGCCTCACAGAGCATTTCTTCTCCACAGTCTCCCACCCCCACCGCCATTTTGCGGTTGAGGAAACAGGCCCTGGGAAGGAATGTGAGTGGAGAACATGTTTAGGGACAGGCCTGGAGGATAGGATCAGCCTCCTTCCACCTTCTCTCCCTTCCTGCCCACGCTGCCGGGGTGAAGTTTAACTGTAAGCTCAAAGCCCCACCAAGCCCAGACCTGGCCCCAGGCTTCTCTGTTAGTAATATCTGGTACTTCAGAAGGCAGATTACAGCTTTCTGGAGTAAATTTTTCCTGGCTTTCATCCCACGGAGTGGTTTAGTGCCCCGAGACTCACCGCAGGGGGATTTTAATCCTTGCACAGGAATGGAGACTCACCCAGTTCTCAGATGAGTGCAGTGAGGTCAGTAGTGCAGGCCCGAGGCGCCTCTTGTCCCCTGAAGGATCTGGTCTGTGTGTGCCCGCCCGCTGCTCTGCCAGGGAGAAGGGTGAGTAGCGGAGCTGCGGGGAGAAGGAGCTGGCACGCCATCAGCACCCCTGAGACGCGTCAGGCAGGCCATGAGGGGCGGCGGGCCTTGCTTGGTCCCTACCCCAGGGCCACACACTAGTGTAACTCCCAGAGTGCCGCCTCCGGTGGGATCAGAAGGGGACAGTAGCGAGCCCGCTGGAAGGTGCTCTTGTGGCCCAGGGGCTCTTCCTGGACTTGTGCTTGAATGTGGACACTTCGCGGGACTGAAGAGGCCTGACCTCAGAGGACATAAGCTCTGTACCTTTACGTTTTCTTTTTAAAGATTTACTTATTTTTGAAGATTTATTTATTTATGCATACAGAGCTGGGGTGCAGGCCAGAGGTGTGGGGGCGGTGAGAGGCTTCACCAGAGACAGAGTGGGGAGCAGAACAGGCCAACTGATGAATTGCACTGCTGAGGGGAGCAGCGGGTGGGTCAGGAGAGGTCTGCCGCGCCATGTGGGTCAGCTCGGGGGCTGGAGATCCAACTCGCACTGAAGCGGCTGCAGTGAACTTGCACAGTGCCATTGCACCACCAGGGAGGGCCTCTTACTTTTTCATTTAAAATTTACCTTTAAGAAACTAGATTGTTGGGCTCTCCCTGGTGGTGCAGTGGGTTAAAGCACTGCATTATGAAGCTTTGCGGAGCCACTGCCCACTGTAGCATGACTCCAATCCCTGGCCAGGGAGATGACCCACATGGCGCGGCAGACCTCTCCTGACCCTCCCGCTGCTCCCCTCAGTAGTGCAATTCATCAGTGGGCCTGTTCTGCTCCCCACTCTGTCTCTGGTGAACTCTCACCCATCACACCTCTGGCCTGTACCCCAGTTCTGTAAGCATAAATAAATAAATCTTAAAAACAAAACAAAACACTAGACCATCATAGGAACACCACAGAAGAGGCCAAGGACCAGCGGAGTCCTCCGGGCAGTGCCTGTCAGATGGTAGACCCTGGGCTTTGCCTTGGGCAGGACTAATGCGAGAAGAATCCTGAGGGTTCCCTGGGTGGAGACCTTCTGGGGAGAAGGTGTGAGTTTCACTTGTGCTTTGGTGAATCTGGTAGAAATATTTGCTTTTCTGGCCTGTCTGGCCTGTGAGGTTGATGTGGATCTTGTTTTGTTTCTTATGTACTACCCAATGCAGCGTTTTTCTAAGCAACGCCCGCCAGAGTGGAAGGTGGGGAGCCTGCCTTCTCATGGAAACTCATGAGGAGACGTGAGTTTTTATTCAGTGGGGCTTTACTCACAGGGAGTTCAGGACTGGAGGAACACACACACACACACCCCTTCCAGTCTGTGCCCCTGGGCACACCTTTTCTTAGTCAACCCCAGGCTCAGCCCTCACGCCGCCAGTGGCCCCTTCCCTCCTGCCAGCCAGCCAGCCGGGCTCCCTCACCCTGCTTCTCTCCCCTGACTTCCCTAACTTCTGGCTGTCCTCTCTGTCCTCCTCCCCGCCTCCAGGCGTCTCTCAGCAGCTCTCAGGGCAGCGAATGGGGCCTCCCTTGCAGCCCCGCCCTCTGGGCCTCAGCCTTATCTTTCCTGCAGCGCCCTCCCCACCCCCTTTCACTGCCCTGACCCCTCCTCCCCTGTGGTCAGCTTGCTTTTCCCTGCTGTCCCCTAGCCGGTTCAGACCCAGGTCCACACTCCACCGGAGATTGGCTCCCAGGAAATGCGGCCGGACCCTCCCCCCCTTCCCTTCCCTTTTCTCTTTTAATGGAGGTGCAGACTCTCCAGTGAGAGGCACAAGCTGCCCAGCTGTTGGTGGGCCACCCCGGTGCCTTCTGGACCAGGGCTTCCCCCGGAGGGGCGGGCTCAGCCAGCCCTTCTGAGGCCCAGGCCAAATGCCCGGGTGGTGGCGTCAAACCTGGATAGTACGGGTGGAACGAGGTGGGGGGAGGCAGTGTGGGGGCTCCCAGGAGCTATGTAGTCCCCTGAATTTGTTCAGGGGTACCTGCCCTCGTGCCACCCCTCAGCAGGGACTTTGAGGACTCCCAGTGTCCACTGCCTCCTTCAGGGCTACTCCCAGCCTGACTGCTGCCCCTGTCGGTTATCTCTACCCTTTAGTTTCCATTCCTTTGCCATCAGGGGTCTGAGTACCAACTGTGTTGGGGGAGGGGACTGGCGTAGGGTGCCGGGCTCCAGGGCCCCACAGCAGTGCTGCGGGTGGTGCTGCCTTGGGGAGGGAATGGAGGCTCACCGAGGTTGAGAGAATTAGCCAGACCAGAATAAACCAGGCCCGGCCTGAGGGCACCCCACCCTAGCAGGGCCACCTGCACTTCCGGGTGGCTTTGCCGCCTCTTGGGCCTCCTGAAGCTGCCTTGAGGGGTCACGCCTTGCTGGTTGGGGGTCACGCCTTGCTGGTTGCTCAGTAGTAGGACTCCCAGCAGGAGCTCATCACTGAGGCCGGCTCCCTGCTCAGCTCCTGGGGCGTGTAGGGATGGTGCCCTGAGGTGGCCACAGAGAAGGGTCCCAGGACTCATCCAGGACCCTCTTCGGGCTGGACGGGAGGGTGCCGGCGTGTGGCTAGAAGGCCCTGCCTGGCTTCTGCAGTGTCCTGAGCTGCCTCCCTTTTGCAGCCCGTTTCACAGCAGCATTTCAGATCTGACTGGAAGCCTGGACCCTCCCCCTGCTCTTAAGTGCCCTGGGAGTTCAGCAGGCAAAAATAAGGCCGTGGCCTGAGCACGTGGCGGTCTAATCTGAGAGTACTGGTCTGCTGGTGTCCGCAAGGACACGGTGTCACCCTGCCTCTCCCGGGAGCGGGAGGCCCTCCTCGGGCAGGGTCTCGGCAGGAGGGGAGCCGCCTGCCGTGCTGAGAGGCTTCAGTGCCGGGCTCAGCCTGGTGTCCACACCTGCACACCAACACGGAAGCAATGTCCAGCGCTCAAAGCACGAACCAGCCCCCACATTCCCTGCTGGTGGCCGGTGCTGTGGCCGCAGGGTCGCTCGCTGCCCGCCCCCAGACCGCAGCCTCTGCCTGGTGAGGAGAGCTGCCTTCTCACCCAAGCCTTGCTCTCCTCCAGCGTCCCCCCTGGGATGTGTGTAAATGGCACAACCCCTAGTCCTGAGGAGACCGGCCCCAGAGCCTCGGGGGTCCGGTGCCCAGCTGCCAGCCTCTGCCCCTGCCAGTGGCATCACCGGAGAGCGGTCGGCCCCGTTGTCTGAAACAAGCGCTCTCTGTGGTTCAGCAGGAACTTGGCCTTCCCAGGGGCCACGGAGGGCACGCCCTGAGGGGGGCCCCGCCACAGCTTGCCCAGCGGGCTTGGCTGCACCCCGGGAGCCACCTCACTGATCCCGGTGTAGTTCTCCCTGCGGCTCCTGCATTCCCTGTGTCTCTCCCTTCCTTGCTGCTGCTTCTGAAAATACTCCTGAGGGGGCAGCCTCCCCTGGCTGCCCCTTCTCTGCAGAACTTTCTGAACTGAGGCCTGGGTTCTGGCCCAGACGGCTAGCGCTGGGCAGTGTGAGGGCCTCCTAGGGGCCGGGGCTGGCTGTACCCAGTGTCCGGAAGTGCATCTTCCTCTGACCCTGGGGCCGCTGGGCCGCTGGGCCTGTCTCTTCAGTTCCTGAACTCGGGGCTTCTCTTGTGCTCAGCAGGTACCTTGGCCCCCTGCTTTCTTTTGGTGCCCCTAATTCTTCGAGTGCTGGCCAACCCGAAGCCTGGGAGGGGAGGGCTGTCCGGCAGAAGCCGGGCTGTGGCAGCCACGTGCTCGGTGCTCAACCTGCCTGTGTTTTACCTCTGGCTTTAGGAAACGCCATCCTCTTCAAATGGCCCTTCCCGGGAGGGCCCCAGGCCACTGTCCACCAGAGAGGGCCAGGCGGTGTACCCCCAGCTCCGACCAGGCTACATCCCCATCCCTGTGCTCCACGAAGGTGCCGAGGGCCGACAGCCACATCCTTTCCACGCCTATGCCTCGCCTGCGACGCAGAGATTCCGAACCGAGGCAGCCACCGCAGCTCCCCAGAGGTCCCAGTCCCCGCTGCGGGGTGCGGCGGATGCCACCCAGCCAGATAAACACTGTGGACCCGCGGCGGCAGCAGCCCCGCCCCCGGCCGCCCTCGGACCCGAGGTAAGGCGAGGCCCTGCCGCGCCCGTGCGGTGCCACCCGGAAGCCGGGCCGCGTCCTCGGCTGTCCCCAGGCCCTGCTCCAGTGCCCAGGGCCAGGCCCCTGATAAACATAAGGCCTCTGAACCTGGCCTGCTGTGTGGAGGTCACTGGGCAAGGACGGCGACGCTGTCCCTGCACGGTCCCCTGGCGTGTCGCAGGAGTGTTTTCCGGGGTGGCTGCAGGGATCCCTGGCTTACTTTTGTCCAAAAAGAACTGGGTGCAAGGTGCATAAAAAGCAAGCTGCCCGGCTTGCCCTGGTCCGGCTCTGATCAGGTCTGGAGTCCCACGGGGCTTTCTGTGTCAGAAGCACAGAGGGCTGGGGGGCTGCTGGGAGCTGTGGAAATGAGACGCACCTGCCCGCCCAGGGAGGCCTCCGAGACGAGGGGTGGGACAGCAGCTGCTTCCTGAGAGGGCTGTGAGCCCGAAGCCAGCCGAGCCGGTGTCTGGGGGCCGAGGGTGAGGCCCCTGGCCCTGTGGGGTTCCGTACAGCAGCCCCTCCCCCTCGGCTTACCCTTCTGCTGGCCTTGCCCTGGGTCCCCTGGCACTGCCCTTGAACACCTGTTCCACGCCCCTCTGCACCCAGAGTTGGGGTCGTCTGCCCCCCATCTGCTGGTCTCCACTGCCAACCTGGTGGTGAAAACTCAGCGGCATCGTGGGGTTGCTGGAGGCTCTTTGCCTTTGTTGGAGAAGCAGTACCCCGAGTATGTGGGTGATGCTTCCACTGCAAAACTCAAAAGTGACACATTGATCAGAGAAATCTTACCAAGCTTGAGCTAGTGGGACCCTCAGAAGCCAGCTGGGGAAACACCCTCCCGATGTGCCTGGTGGGTAGAAGGGCTCTGGCAGGGAAGGGGCCTGGCCTGTCTGGGCCACCCAGGGGGACCCAGCTCCCAGGGCCCAGCCGATGGGCCAGGACGGGACGGAGGGAGAGGGCAGGGAGTGAGCAGTGGTCGCCCAGGGATGGAGTCCTCTCTTGCGTGGCCCGAGGGCTCAGGTGCATCACCAGGGGTGTCATTGCCTCTTCAGGCTGGCCTGGGGTCGGAGGCCGAGGGGCAGCTCTTCCGTGTTGGAGCCGAGACCCTGCCAGCTCTGCACCCAGGCCCCTTGGACTCCAGGGCTCCCAGGCTTAACCCCACATTTTGAAAATGGAAAGGTTGACAGGAGGCCCACGGTGACCCTGAGCCGCACACACAGGATCGAGGTCGTAGTGCCAGGCTCGGGTCATTCACGGCGGCCTCCTCCACCCTTGTGTCTTGCAGCGGTCCCAGTCTCCAGCTGCCTCCGACTGCTCATCCTCGTCGTCCTCGGCCAGCCTGCCCTCCTCCGGCAGGGGCAGCCTAGGCAGTCACCAGCTCCCCCGGGGCTACATCCCCATCCCCGTGATACACGAGCAGAACGTCACCCGGCCGGCAGCCCAGCCCTCCTTCCACCAAGCCCAGAAGACGCACTACCCAGCCCCGCAGGGTGAATACCAGACCCACCAGCCTGTGTACCACAAGATCCAGGGCGACGACTGGGAGCCCCGGCCCCTGCGGGCCACGTCGCCGTTCCGCCCGCCCGCCCGGGGGGCGTCCAGCCGAGAGGGCTCCCCAGCCAGGAGCACCACGCCGGTGCCCTCGCCGGTGCCCTTCCGTGTGCACACCATGGTGGACAGGCCTCAGGTATGCGAGGTGGTGTCCTGCCTGGCCGGGACAGCGAATCTGGGGGCGGGGGGTGGGGGGAGCTCTGTGCAGGTGCCTGGGTCCCCGCCAGCCCTGATTGTAACTGGAGGGCAGGGGAGCCTGGCAATGGCTGGTCAGCTGCAGGATTGCAGGGCGAGGGTAGGAGCCCTCAGCAGGCCCTCTCTGCAGCTCTGGCTCACAGTCTGTTGCAACTTCCTTACACTTCCAGCTGCCCTGGTGGGAAACTGCAGTAGGCAGTAGGGGTCAGTGCCACAGCCGGGGTGCAGGCTCCCTAGTGCCCGTGCCCTCTCAGGGCGCACACGCTCCCCCACCGCCCGGCCTCAGCCTCGACTCAGTCTTCCGGCTGCTTGCGCCCTTCCTCACTGTTACCCTGTTGCACTCCGCACCCCCATTCTGCTCTTGCCCCACTCTGTGCCTTTGCTTGCGCTCAGCCCACCCCAGGGACGGCAGCCCAGCCCCTGTCCCGCCCGGGGGAGCCTGCTCCTCTGCGCTGTCCGGCGCCTCCCGAGCCCCCAGGTCCTGGGTGTGCGCTTCTTAGTGCCTCAGCTGAGCCCCGAGCTGGGTGCTGGGCCTGGCTCACGGCCTCCCCTCCGCCATGGAGGGCGGGCGCTTGCTCAGGAGCTGCTCACTGCTCGAGGTTGCGGTCCGGTCTGCTCCCTTCTTTGGAAACTTTCGGGGGGCATCGTGGAGAAGAGGGGTGTCTTCTGATTTCAGCAACTTGTAGTGGCCTTAGTGACAGAGCAGGCAGCAGCCCTGAGCCGCCCCTGGCTGGCGCGGTTTTGGAAGGAAGACCTAGAGACAAGTGTGGGTGTCTCTTCACTCTAAATGGTGATACTGTCCAGCACCCTGTAACGAAGCACCTCCTTTTTTTGAGCTATTTTATTTGTAGCTATTTAACTCTTACAGACTCTACAAGCATGGTCCAGAGACAGCAGTGCCCCTACCCATCGTCACTGGACATTTTGCTGCTCTGCTTTGTCATTTCTTCACTCTCTAAATTGTTTCTATAACTGAGACAGACTTGTGGGCGTCACGCCCGCTCACCCCTGGCTCCTTCAGCAGAGAGCGCCCCAAGAAACAGGCATTCTCATTCATAATCCGATTCGATGCAGGATGTCTCACATCCTTCCGGCGCTGTTACCTGACACAGCGGCCGCTTCCTGACCTCTGCAGCGTCTCCCGCTCGGGGGCCAGTCCGGGCACCTGAGCAGGATGCTGCGAGGTCGCGTCTTTCATTCCCTTCGGTCTGGCACAGTTCCTCGGCCTGTCTTTGCTCTCACGACCTTGACATGTTTGAGGTGTACAGCTGGAGGCCGCCCCTTCGGAAGTGTGTCTAAAGTCAGTTACTCAGCCCTCACTTCAAGACCCAAGGAGGGGGCTTGTGGCCCACTCGTGAGTGCTAAGGGCCAAAGCTGAGGCCGTCTGCGTTGACAAAAGAGGTTTGAGGGATGGAGGTTGCTGTCCAAACGGCCAGGTGAGCCCAGAGCTCACCTGAGCCCAGCCATCCTGGTGCCCGTCTGCAGGGCAGCTCACCTCACCCCTGTATTCCCAGAGCACTGAGCAGCGTTTACTCTGATTTTCACCTCCTTCTCCTTATCCTTATTTATTGAACCTCCCTCTTACAGCTCGTTCAAGGAACCCTTTTTGGAGACTTGACCAGTATTTGACCTTACCAGTGGAATTTGATATTTGGAATTGAGAATACTGTAAAAAAAACTAATAATGTAGCCCCACTCTTACCTCCCAGTGGATGGAGTGGGCGTGTATGTGATTTCTAAAATCGCGTTAATGTCCGGCGCCTTAGACACACGTGGTAGTGTCAGAGAGCCCAGGTGTTTCTCTTCTGGCTGGGCTCCTTTCAGAGTCTCTTGCAGTGGCTTTGTCACATGAAAGAGTGTCTCAGCCCGGGCAGCCTCATCAGGGCAGGGAGGCTGCCCGGCTAGTGTTAGCTCTGGCACACCGTGCCCAGGAAAAAGCTTCCAGGGTTAACTATTTTGGGCATCTCACTTATCCTCAAAAAATGCATCAGTCTGGGAAGGAACCACTGGGCTGTCATGAGATTGAAAAGGTTATAACTGTTCTGAAGCAGGAGAGGGGAAGGTCACACCCTGAACAGGACTGTGCCCACCGCGGGAAGGAGGGGCGCGGGATCAGCTCTCGGGGCTGCACCTGACAACCGAACCCCAGGGCTTGCCTGGAGTTCGGGTAGCCCACAGCCCACGGAGCTTCTGGCATTTCTGAAATTCTTTTTACCTTTTCACTGCCAAAGGAAAACCAGCTACAGGAAAATTCACCCGTAGACACGTGAACGGAAGCATGACAAATGGCCAGGTCTCCTGTCTGATTAGTACCATTTTTTTTTTGTTCTTTATCAGCTGTTGGGTGACTTGGGAAATCTCCTTTATACTGTTAAACTTTTTTTTTTTTTAATATACTGTTAAACTTTTAAAAAGCCAAACCCTAGTTCTCTCTAGTCGGTGCTAGCTGCGACAGGCTGTGACTTTCAGCTATTAAAAATGCCTCTGTGTCCTTGCCTCTCCTCAGCAGCCCATGGCCCAGCGGGGGCCTTCACCTGTTCCCCAACCTGAAAGCAAGCCAGAAAGCAAGCCGGGCCCAGCTGGACCTGATCTCCCCCCTGGACACATCCCCATTCAAGTGATCCGCAAGGAGGTGGATTCCCAGCCTGTTTCCCAGAAGCCCCCACCTCCCTCCGAGAAAGTGGAGGTGAAGGTGCCCTCTGCGCCTGCTCCTGGTCCCCCCAGCCCCGCCGCTCCTGCCGCGCCTGCCTCCCCCAAGAACGTGGCTGCAGAAGAGAAAGCAGCCCCCAGCCCTGCCCCTGCCGAGACCACACCCCCCAAGCCAGGAGGGGCTGAGGCACCGCCAAAACACCCAGGTGTGCTGAAAGTAGAAGCCATCCTGGAGAAGGTTCAGGGGCTGGAGCAGGCCGTGGACAACTTCGAAGGCAAGAAGACCGACAAAAAGTACCTGATGATAGAAGAGTACTTGACCAAAGAGCTACTGGCCCTGGATTCCGTAGACCCCGAGGGACGAGCCGACGTCCGTCAGGCCCGGAGAGACGGCGTCAGGAAGGTCCAGACCATCTTGGAAAAACTGGAACAGAAAGCAGTGGATGTCCCAGGGCAGGTCCAGGTCTACGAACTCCAGCCCAGCGGCCTCGAGTCCGACCGGCCGCTGCAGGAAATCATAGAGATGGGAGCCGTGGCAGCAGGCAAGAGTCAGAAGAGTGCTGGGAGCGGAGAAGAGCCCCACCCCCAGCCCCAGCCGCCAGAGGCCAAAGAAGGGGCAACGCCAAACCCCAGCAGCACGACAGACCCGGCCGGAAACCCGGCTGCGCCCTAGTCCCGCTGCGCCCGGCTTGGGCCTGGGGACCGGCGCTGGCGTGTGCTCTAGGCGATTTGAAGTTGCATGCATTTCAGAGACTCCAGATCAGTCGGTTTTTACTACTCGTAGCTGCTTGATCCGTAGTAACCCGGGTGGAGGTGAAACACGCTGATTAAAGGGCTAAGAGGAAAGTGACGCTTTTCTTCTGTCTTCTCACCCTGGACCGTAAAGAAGTTGCTAGTTTCGAAAGTTGAACCCCATCGCTTGTTGTTTGGGGTCCCTGTCTGTGCCGGGGCACCATGTATAGGCCATGGCTGTGAGCGCTGGACTGAAGGAGTTTGGGGGACAGATGGGGAATCGAATTCCCATCACATAAGTAAAAAACCCATTTTTCAGAAACGTTGCCGTTTCAATGGGATGAGTCTCTTCATCTCATAGCTGAAATACTTAGCTAGGACGAAATGTGTAAGGAGCATAGGGATATCTGTATGTTGAGTGACTTTAAATGCTACATTTTAAGAAAAGAAAATAAAATAATGTAACGCAATGTGTCTGGTTTCTAAAACTCTGAAAAGAGCAAAGTCTCTTCCCGACTTCAGTAAATTGAATGGCAGAGGTGTGACAAGCCGGGCCTGGGCCTTGTCGCACTCCACCTGCCCAGCTCGGAGGGACAAGTGGCGGTCACGTTCCAGTCTCCAGTTGCAGCTAGACCAGGAGACGCGGCTGTGGACCAGGACATGAGTGCGCCTAACACCTCCCCAGACTGGCCCAGGCGCGTGGGGCCTGTGGACAGTGGCTCTGCCCGCCCAGACGCAGATGCCTGCCGGCCTCGCCTCCCCCAGGGTGGCACTGGCCCTGCCTGCCACAGGGATGCCCGCGCCTAGTATTGCCCAGGGTGGGGTCTAGGTCGCCAGCAATGCGAATGTGCCCGCGAGTCTGGGGGCCCCTCTCTGACACCTCGGAGAGCCCCACACCAGTCCAGGACTGGGTGTCTCCCCAGGTTGGATTCCTAGAAGCCTCGGGTGAGGGGTCAGATGTCCCCAGCAGCCTCCAGGTGGAAGGAGATCCTCCCTTCTGCACCAGTGTTTTGTCAAAAGCGTGGGGAGGCCCACAGCCCCCTCGTGGCCTGGGGGTTTTGGTTTTTAACTGCTCATCCTGTGAACCTGAAAATATAAAGGAAGAAGAAGCGAGGCCTGACATCTTGGAGCTCCCAGGGAGCCTGCTGCCTTCAGAGCCCCCTGGCTGAATTCTGCATGACTGGATTGAGTTTAGTCGTGGCGCCTGGCGAGGCCACACACAACACACACTGTGGTGTTTGCGGAGGGAGCTCGAGGTCATTCCGACGGAAACCGCCACCACCACTCCTGGGTGAACTCGCTGGGGGGCTTCAAGCCGACGGCCTCAGACTTCAGTGACACAAACTCAGGTGTGTACATAGGGGGAAAAAAGCCTATTTTTTGGTAAATGGACAAAGATGAAGCACGTGATCATTTCCTTCTGTGATCTGAGCATCTCTTCCCAGCTGATCTCAATGGGAAGCCGCCTTGGGTTGTTACCGAGTGCAGTTGGTGTTACCTTCATCGCTAAGCACCATCATCTACTGTCTTTACTGTAGAGTATTTTCAATCCTCCAGGCGAGGCGGTGCCTGGATATCAGGGGCAGAGTTTTCAGACCCGTGTGGGTGGTCGCTGGGCCTCATGGGGGTCAATGGCAGGGTCAAGAACTGCACAGGCTCTTCCTAACCAAGCGACATGGCCCCGAGGGAGTCAGCCGCATCCGCTGAGCACTTGCCAAGAAGGAGCTTCCTTCGTCATCACCACGCCCTAATTCCAGATAGCATCGTCCCTCAGAACGCAGGCCTCAGTCAGACCTGGATTCAAACCACAGCTTCACGTATCAGCTCAGGGACAATGGACATGTCACCTCGTGCGTCCCTGTCTGCTTTCCTCGGGTAAAGGGTGGGGAGTGAGTTCAGACAGGAGGGGCTGCTGGGCCCTGTCAGCATTAGCTGCTGTTGGCATCCTCACAGGGCGGGTGAGGAAACACGGGTGACTGACCACACCCACAGAATCCAAGTCCCTGGACCCATGTTAGCCGCCCCCCCCATGGCAGCAAGTGGGGGGCCATGAGGAAGGGATGACACCCTGGAAATGTGAGAGTAACCTCACGCCTCTTAGCACGTTTTTAAAAATGTGTGAAAATGCTAGGAGAGTGTCCCCTTCCCAGGGGAAGCAGGTGACTTGAGTGAGCAGGTCATGGCGCCCACGCTGGAAGCCGTTTGCAGCCCTGGCTGGTGCCCAGAGGCCTGGGTCTGCTTCCCACCACACCCTCCCTCCCCCCTCAGCTCAGCCCCCTCTCCCCACCTTTGCCATCAGCCTCACCCTCTCCACTTTTCCCAGGTTTTGCCCACCCGAGTGCACCTTTGTGTGACTGCCTCTGTCACAGGAGGCCTCTCCTCAGATTTTCCTGGGCCTTTGGTGTGTTGTGTTCTAACTGTTCTAACATCATTCCCAAAGCGAGAACCATAGACCCCCGAGGGCAGGCCCATTCTGAAACCCCTTAATTCTGTCTATGTCCACCCTGGGGCCCACAGGAACCCCGTCAGGCCATAAAGCCCGTTCTCCAAGGTTAATCGGGCATTTATTCAGAAATAACACCGGTGATGGAACATAGGGCCAGCTCTGCCACTGACCTCTTGTAACCCCCAGCCGTGTGAATCTGGGCAAATTGTTTGCTGTCCGGACCTTCTCCTCCCCATCTATGAAAGTGACCGTGGCCCGGGCCTCAGTGGTGTCCGGGAGGCCAAGCTCCCGGAGCGTGGCGGGTGTGCCTGCTGTTCTGTAACATTATACGGAGGCTGTCACATGCCAGGGGACCGGATCCAGGCTTGCAGTTATTTTGGGATGTGCAGGAGCCTGTGGGAAAATGCTGGAACATGTCTGAGTCACTCAGGCAAATACCTTTCTTTCCATGTTCCAGCGTGTTTTGAACACTCAGGCCGCACACTCACATACACAGCGCGAGCCGGCACAGCTCCCTCTGCATCTCGGCTGCCCTTCCCGAGCAGAGCTCTGTTTATCAGTGGTGGCCGCACACCTCACAGCTCTGAGCAGTCTGATTCAGAGGGCTGAGGGGCAAGGCAGGTTGAGTCCTTGGAGGTAGTAAGCATGGGTTTAACCATGGTGCCCTTTCTGGTACTGCTCACAAAAGCCAGTCCCCAGAGCAGGTGAATGGAATTTCCTGTGTTCTAGCTGGCATTTTAATGTTTGTATTCTCGTGAAGGAATTGGGTTTTACTCAGGTATGACTAAGGAGGGGCAGCTCGGAGGCCCCTGTGAGCACAGGGCCCACCATTTGTCCAGGGGCCGTGATTCGGGTGTACTTGGCCACATGGCCATCTGGGACAAGTAGTTCAGTCACCGCATCTTCACATTCGTCGTATTAAACTTGGCAAAGCCCTCTCCTCGGAAATAATGGATTTTCTTGCAGCCTGAGAATAATGGATTTTCTTGAGCTCTCAAGGCCCCATGGTCCCCCTCAACCACATGCTCCTTGTCCTGCAGCTCAGTGCAGATGGACATGACCACGTGAAGGGTGTGGCCCTGGCTACTGTGTGGCTCTTTGAAAAACTAAAAATTAAAGCCCCCAGTTGTGTGTGTGCATGTGCTGGGGTGTGTCACTGCTTCCCAGGCACTGAACTGTCTGCCATCCAGCTCTGCCTAGTACAAGCCAGTACAGTCCCTTGGGGACATACTGTGCGGGCAGGGAGGGTCCAGGAGAGAGCCGAGAGGCCAGCAATGCGGCCCTCTGCTCTCCCAGAGAAAGGAACAGCCCCAAGCCCCAGGCTCTTCTGAGACAGAAAGAGCCTACCACACAGGAACCAGGGCTCAGGCGCACCTGGAAGGAAGTCTGGACATGGTGGTGGGGGGTGGGGGGGCTGGAAAAAGTCCTCCAGGGAGGGGCCTTTTTCTAGAACATTCCCTTTCCGGTCCTTGTTTGCTCTATCCAGAGCTTTGCCCTATTGTCTAGGGCCCACGTGGAGACTGATTTCTCCACAGCCCTGTTGCTGAGGAGGACGGCCTCTCATCCAAGACGCTGGCCACTGGCCTCACTCCCTTCCACTTAACATCTCTCCCTCTCACCTGGGCTCCTGCCTTGGCCCAGAGCCAGAATGAAGTTTCTCCTCAGCCCTCAGGCGACCCCCTTTCTTGTCAAACATCCTGAAAACACCAGCTGGAGTCACCCCTGGGCTCCCATGAACTGCTCTGCCTCTTGGGGGCTCCCCAGACCAAGCCTGCACTGCTCAGTGGGCCAGTGCTGTGGGGACACAGTGACCAGGGTGTGCCTCGCCTGTCACAAGGCCCAGGACCCGCTGCCGGTGCTCAGCTGGCCAGGCTGCCCACTACCGCTGTTCTTGCGCTGGTTGGTTTTCTCTGTCAGCCTGGCGAGGGGAGAGCACCCAGCTACGTGAGCAAACACTGGGAGTGGCCACGTGGCACTTCGCAGACGCAGTTAACACCCACGACCTTTGGACGGTCCATAAAGGAGAGCGCCCTCCCTAATACGGGCCTCATCCAGTCGGGAAGGCCAAGTGCAAAACCAGGCTTCCTGAAAAAGTAGCATTTCTGCCTCAAGATTGAAGTGTCTGCTCCTGCCTGAGTTTCCAGCCTGCTCACCTGACCCGTGGATTTCAGACGTGCCTGTGTAAGGTCATTCCTCAACAGTCTTCACACACACACACATGCATACACGCGCGCGCACACACACTCGCAAGTTTCTCTGGAGAACCCTGGCTGAGACTCCCGGCTGGCAGACACTGGGCCCCCGACCCAGCACCCCCCCTTCTGTGGTTCTAGCACCTCGTTCTCCTCAGCACAGGAACCTAGAATCCCGTTCCCGAGGCTCCCTGAGCCGTCAGCTCTGTCACCACCCAGGTCTGCCTTGTTCCTGTGTCAGGTGCTCACCCAGGCTGCGGGTGGAGGAGGAGGGAGCCAGCTGCCCCTGTGTGGACTGGGCAGGGCACAGGGGCGGACACCGGTCCCCACCTGTGCCCAGACGTTACTCCCATCCAACGCCGTAAGGACTTTCCAGTTTCCAAACAGGGCAGAAATCTCTTTATGTGAAACCGCTCCATTTAAACAATATTTTCCAATATGTTAAAAAACTCAGGCCCAACCGAAGCCATCTGCAGGCCAGATCTGACCGTGGGCTGCCAACGAGCAAGTTGCAGGTAGCGCTGTGCTGGAAATGCTTCGTTCAGTCTCAGGCTCCTGCCCGTTCCCAGCGGCGAGCTGAGAGAATGAGACTGAGGCCCAGGCTGCTTCAACTCGCTGTGCCCAGTTGGGATGGAGAAAATGAGCAGGAGACCTCCTGCTGCCACTCTCCACCCCCATTCAAGGTCTTCATCCTGTTGCTCAGACTACCTAGTCCCTACTGTGCCCAGCTCAGAGCTGACCTAAACCATTTATATTACTCGTGCAGTCATCACGGCGAGTTTGAGAACATGTTTATCATGCCCAAAAGAAACCCCATATCACTAGCATTTATGCCCCCTTCCCCCCACATCCCAGCCCATTGCCACCCCTTGCCCTCTATGGAGTTGCCTGTGCTGGGGGTACCATGTAAATGGACACACACAGGGTGTGTGTGTATGTGTTTTAAGATTTGTTTATGTATGCATCCAAGAACTGGGGTACAGGCCAGAGGTGCGGGTGGGTGTGGATGGTGAGAGGATTCACTACAGGCGGAGTGGGAGCAGAACAGGTGGATCTACTGAAATACACTGCTGAGGGGAGCGGCGGGGA